TTGTTGCGGCAGCTATGGTTAATGGTTAAAGTAGAGCTGCGCCAAACTTTTTTTACAGCTGTTCTCATAAATTTTGAGACAAACTAAAAATTTGTCGTTTCCCGAAATCTCTTCGGTTTCGTCCTAAAGGTCATCTAATTCTTCGGCATCACGTCATTGCCTTCGGAACTTCAGTCCGGAGATAGTGATGTATTTTCCGGAGAGTTAGATGATTCATAGAACGAAACCGAAGAGATTTCGGGAAATGAGCAAATTTTTAGTTTGTCCTAAAATTTATGAGAACAGCTGTAAACTTTGAGTGAAGATATCTCGACACCCACCAAGACAAATTCGAAGAACTTTTTTTTGAATTCTACAGATTCGTAGAATTTAAATAAAAAAAGTTTATCAAATTTGACTTGGTGAGCGTCGAGATAACTTCACTCAAAGATTTAAAAAATACAAAACGTCTATCAAAAAGAAGAGCTGCGCCAAACTTTTTTTATAGAAAATGTTTCGGAGAATTTCGCCAATTTCGGTTTCGCCGGGTTTCGGAGGTTTCGCCAGATTTCGGAAGTTTCGCCCATTACGCCCATTTCGGAAATTTCGGTTTTATTTCGCCTTTCGGATTTTGGAAATGGATTTCGCCCGCAATACTAATGCAAATGCATATAAATATTCGAATTTGAATGTAATTCAAATTATAAATTGTAGTGCTAACTAAGCAAATTTTGGGTGAATAATTTGAATAAATATAACTTCGATTATTTCAAAACCTCATGATTCTGTCATTCTCATACTCAGATTATGTACATGATTTTGGTGGCAATACTAGGTGAGCTCTTTGCTCCTCTATGATACTTAAGGGACTGACTTTATTTTTTACTGTACAAGAAGTTTAAAGAATTTTAGTTAATAAAATTATTTAGTGAGTAATTGTATAAACAACAGTTAAATAACCAAATTTGATATTCGTAAATTACACGATATCTTTTGTAAGGTGGCTGAAGTTAACTTTGAATTATAAAGCCTTCAGACTAGGAATGGGCTCATGCACAACCTGCGTATTAAATTCAGTGCCCTGCGCAGCCTGCAATTTATAATTCAGGTAAGGAAGTATAATGCTGGGCGGAATTAAGAAATAGATTTGTAAAAATGCAAAAAATTCAAAAAGGAAAATGAAAGAACCAATATAGAGCAAGGTTAAGACAAAAATTTTGGGTAAGTATTCATGATTTTTCTGAAGCCAAAAAAATAGAATAATGTAAATACTTCGTATTTAACACGCAACTGTGTTAAATATCTTTGAATTATTTTCCAAACCCAAGATATTTTAATTTAAAATTATTTTTACTTCTTGTACGTTGACAGGCCAGGCCTAAAATCGGAGAGTCTGGTTTGAACGATAAGAGCTTCGTGTAACCAAAAATAAGGTTACGTAGGGATCGAAAAAGTTTGGCTAGTGGTTAATGAACGTGTGTAGTTTATTGTATATGTGACTTAGGTATTTTATTATTTGGGTAAAGCGGGAACTAGTCTTTCCCGAAGGGCCAAGAGGCCTTTATTTATAACTAACTCAATATCTATTTTTACATACAAAGGGCTATATTCCCATAATTGCAAGTTCCGTATTCGAGTAATCCTTCAAATCCTTCGAATTCCCGATCCCGGTAAGCCCAAATTTGGAATTCCCGTGTTACGCGGGCGTGTGTTTGCTTCAGGTTTCACAACGTATAACATTAGTATTAGTTTATTTACATGTAAAGCGAAATTATTGTTCTTACACATTGTTTATCGGATATTAAATATGATTGAAATAACTTTTGTTTTCAAATTGTCCATTTGAATTAAAGTTATTAAAGTTCAAATGTTATTTTATCTTAAATTACATCTTTGTTCTATGGGTATTCCCTTAATAAATAAAATTATCAAATTATATATTCATTTGTTAATGTTATAAATAATTTATAATTAAATAATCACATACCAGTTTTTTTTCTATTAAAGGTATTCGTATTATTGCATTTGGGTATTTCCATTTTTTCCAACAAATTTTGTAATAATTTAAAGCTTCAATTAAATTTATTTCTATTCCAACGCCGTCATAATAGCAATCACTAACCATACAAAATGCTATTTTATCTTGTTCACCGGCCTCTTTAAATAAATAAAACGCCTTAACTTCATTTTCTTCGCAACCCATTCCATTCATATGCATAATGGCAAGCTCACGTTTTGCCTTTAAAATTCCGCCACTTGCCGCTAGGTTAAAATAGCAAAAAGCTTCGTTATAATCCTCAGAAGTACCAAGACTGTATCTATGACAAAATGCAGCTTCATAATAAGAATAAATATCCTTTTTCTCACAACCTTTTTTACACCAAGATAAACATTCCTTATAGTCTTTAATTGTTCCAAACTCTTGCATATAAAAATATGCTAAAATTGTCTTAATCCTTCAAATTTCATGGTAAAATCAAAATTTTTTTTCGAATTTTTAGTGATATTTTTAAGCCAGCTATTTACGTCATTTACAGTATCATCAGAATTAGTAACCATATCCTTAATATACAGGTTTATGAACTCTTGGAGCAGATTTGCAATATTTGCATTTGAACCAGAAATGCGTTGTTCGGTTTTAAGAATATATTCGTCGAATTTTTTATCAGCCTCCGACCTTATGTTGCTAACAATATCATAAATTTCGTTTATTTGTGGCCGATTTTCTGGAGATAAATCCCAACATCTTTTGTAAAGATTTACATATTCAATGGGAGTAACAGGATTTGGATCTTCACGAAGACCGCTAGGTATATTTAGGAAAATTTCGCGTATACTTGAGTTTTGAAAAGGCGATCTTCCTGTAGTCAACTCCCAATACAATACACCGAAGCTATAGATATCCGATTTAAAGTCGCGCACATATTTTGGGTCCAACATACACTGCGGTTCTAAATAAGCGATTGTACCTTTAAATTCACCTGTTATAGTTTTTGTAGCATCATCATTACAAAATTTGGATATTCCCAAGTCTGCTATCATCACTTTGCGGTTATGGATTAGGATGTTTTTTGAATGCTAAATAAAAAATTAAATTGTCTAAGGATCAATCATTAAAAGCTTATTGTAATAATTTGAAATGTAAAAGAAATCCTTACTAGATCACGATGTATAATATCCTCTTTGTGCAAATATTTTAAGCCAAGAGCAATATCTTTAGCAAAACATATTTGTTCCTCAAATTTTAAATTGTATTCATAATTATTGAAACTATTTCTTAAATAATCACGTAAATTTCCGCCATTGGCAAATTGTAAGACCATTACGTAGTGTTTATGCACAGGTTCTGTTAATATATAAATTAATATCAAATTGGTATATCTTAATTCAAATATTATATTAAATCTTTTACCCTGAGTTATACCGAGCAATTGATTAATGTACGGGTGATGATCCACTTTACGGAGAAGTTGCACCTAGAATAAAATTTATGAAAACATATATTTATTGCGTATTATCCTACGAAAGATTACCAACCTCCTTTACAAATTCTTTAAAGGCCTTTTTATCGGAATGTAAATTGGCAAATAATTTCTTCAATGCGATAGTTATTCCCTTAGATTTGAGCGTTGCAGAATAAACTACTCCATAACCTCCTTTGTTGATCATTTGAATATTTGAGAAATCATCATAGCTGTATGCCTTAATTTCTCCCACGTCTATTAATGTTCTAAGGTCTCCAGAAGTATTCATGTTTTTATCCCTTTTATTATTTTATTTAATTTACAAATTTAACAAAAGCAACAAATAAAAGCAAAAAACATATATATATATATAAACAATAAAACCAAACTCTCTTATTATGGCCTTAATACCATAATAATTAACGACGGGTAATGTGCTGAATCAAACTCACGTAATGAATTATTAAAAAGATTTATTAATGGAACCGGTCACACAACACTGTAAAGAGAGCTATTTGTAGCTGACAGTTAAACAAGATTGCGTCCACTAGGAAATTTTGCAATTTTTAAACACAGGATCTTCAGGAGAATAACTTAAAGAAGTAATCTTAATAAGTTAAGTGAAACACTGTACGTACGTACTGGTTTATTAGCTGACTTTGTGTAAGGTTACCATTATAAATAAATAAAGTCTTACCGTTACCACTTGCATTTATAATTTTTATCATTTTTATTTATCGACTTTAGAGTATGGTTGCGACTAAAACTCCAATCTATGATCTCAGAATCCAGATTTCACAGTTCCTTCCACTCTTCAGTGACATTATACAAGTATCTGAAAAAATTTCTAAAATATACCATGATGCAGAGCATAACAAACGTATCTGTGGCGCAATATTCGATAGAGTATCCGCTGTAGAAGTAACAATTCGCTCTTTAAAATTTCGATGGGATGAGCATAGAAAATCTTTTACTCAAAAGAATTATACAGTTTTGCAGAAGCTTTTGTGTAATATTCAGAAGTTGGAAGATTTTATGAATGATGTTACAAAGTCGGAATGTGTAAAGTGTATTAAGGTAGAATCAATCGAGGCAATTTTTTATGACTTAATTAAAGAATTTGATAGGTATATAGATGAACTAGATCTAGTAATCTTGGTCGATGATGAACGCCGTAGGCGAGAAAAACAAATCTTAAGAAACGATATCGAAGATCTTAATAAAGCGTTAGAAATTAATCCAAGCGACCGTGATAGCATCGAACGTGAATATACTTATAAAAATAGAAAAGAGATTAGAAATGGTAGGGTATTCTAATTGTTTATATTTTATTACTGCAATAAACTAACCAACTGGTTTTTATGTCATTAAAATGTATAAGGTAAATTTGGTATTATTTATTCGGCAGATTATAATGAAGAAAAGGTTGCATTGAAAAGTTTTAAAGACAATAATGTGACAGATTACGCTAAACTTAATACAAAATTCTGGAATATTGAGCCAAAAGAACGTCAATTTATTACAAATCCCAATAGAGAACTTATATCGGAATTAGACACAAAAACAAGTTTAACTCCTTATGACCTTGGATACAATTATCAACATGGAATAGGGGTTGAAAAGGATGAACATAAGCATTCATTTATTATCAAAAATCAGCAGAGATGGGCAATGCTAGTGGAACATATAATGTTTGATATTGTTATCAGAATGGAATTGGAGTTGAAAAGGACGAACATAAGGCATTCATTTATTATCAAAAAGCCACTGAGATGGGGCATGCTGAAGGAACATATAATGTTGGATATTGTTATGAAGAAGGAGTTGGAGTTGAAAAGGATGAACATAAGGCATTCATTTATTATCAAAAATCAGCAGAGATGGGTTATGTTGATGGAATATTTAATGTTGGTTATTGTTATGATAAAGGAATTGGAGTAGAAAAGAATGAACATAAGGCATTCATTTATTATCAAAAATCTGCTGATATGGGTGATGTTGATGGAACATATAATGTTGGTTATTGCTATCGAAATGGAATTGGAGTTGAAAAGGATGAACATAAGGCATTCATTTATTATCAAAAATCTGCTGATATGGGTG